TTTTTCAGAAGACAATATAAGAAATTGATATAATAAACTGCTTTAATATAAAATAGTATATAAGATAAATTTTACATCAAAATAAAGATATTTGAGTATAGTTTCATATAAAATTGACTTTATTATTTTTTGACTTTTCTATAATGAGATATAATCAATTTACTACATACATGTCTAATTTGGCAGTTTCACAATTTAGCACATGTAGTGTATATAGTTAAACAATAAACTTAATATTATAATTTGTCCATATTGTCCATTATATAAATACATATATAATAATTTTAATTTGTTTTGGTATTATCAAAATAAATATGAGACCTTGAGGTTAACATGGTGTACTTTTGTAATATAATTTTTTGCATCAATATATGTATTTCCTTGCTTAAGTTGTATTTTTCTTGGGTCTACTTTCACTTTCAACAAATGGTATTAGAGCAAGGTCTCTCTTTCTCTATAGTTAACATGATCTAACTCAGATCCCAAAATTAACAAAGACAAATTATGGGAACTCAAGCATTGAGATGAAGATTCTTCTTGAATCACAAGATTTATGGGAGATTGTCAAAGAAGATTACACTAAGTCCGCGGAAAGCACTGAAAGGATAGGCAAAAAGGATAAAAAGGCCTTATATTTTATTTTTTAAGGTGTTGATGAATCAACCTTTGAAAAGATATCAGACGAAAAGACAGCAAAGGATGCATGGGAGATTCTGTAGAAATCATTTCAAGGAGTCGAAAAAGCTAAAAAGGTACGACTCCAATCGCTTAGATTTGAATTTGAGACATTGAAGATGCAAAATTTGGAAAACATTTCAGATTATGTCTCACATTTGGAAATGATAGCAAATGAAATGAAAAGAAATGGAGAAACTTTTAATGATGTTTGAGTGATGAAAAAACTTCTTTGTTCATTGACTCGGAAGTTTGACTATGTTGTCGCTACAAACGAAGAATCAAAGAATTTGTCAGATTTCTATTGAGGAGCTTGTGGGTTCTCTTTAGGCCATAGAGCAAGCTTTGCAAAGAAATTGTCCATTGGTCAAAATCAATGTTATAGCAGCTATAGATGTGGTAAAGGAAATTATAGTGGCTACAAAGGCAGCTATAGCAGAGGATGCGGTGGACGAGGACATGGTAAACAATCTCTTGAAAGAAGACAAACAAATAAAGGCTTTCAGAAATATAGTCATGATGAAGGATCTAGAAGTTGAGGAAAAGACAAATTTCAATAGCAAGCAAACAAATCTCAGTTGCAATGCTACAATTGCAATAAGTACAACCATCTTAGGTACAAGTGTAAATTATCTCCTAGGATGGAGGAAGAAAATTAGTTCGCAGTAACAGAAGACAAAGATGTGGAGTCAAACATTTTGCTCACTTATAAAGGAATTGAAGAACACAAGGGAAATGTTTGGCATCTCGACATTGGTGCTAGCAATCACATGTCCAAAAGAAGGGAATTATTTATAGATTTAGATGAGCCAATCAAAGGAAAAGTTACATTTGTTAACTCCTCAAAGATTCTAGTTAAAGGTAAAGGCAGAATTGCTATTACTTTAAAGAATGGAGATAGAAAGTATATTTCAGATGTTACGTATCAGCCTTAAAAAGTAATATTATCAGCCTTGGCAACTCCCAGAAAACAAGTATAACATTCACATGAAGGACCACTCTCTCTTCATCAAAAATAGAATTGGAGAATTAATTGCAAAAGTTAACGTGACAAAGAATCGCCTTTTTATAATTGATATACAGACAAAGGTGAAATCCATGAAGTCTATTGTCAAGGATGACTCATGGTTATGGCGTCTAAGGTTTGGTCATCTTGTCTTTACCGGCCTGAAGATGTTATCAAAAGCAAAGATGGTAAATAGACTGCCAAAAATACTTAATTGAATCAATTGTGTGAAGCTTGTATCAAAAGAAAACAATGCAAACAAAGCTTTGAAGTTAGAAAATCTTGAAGAGCCAGAAGGCCATTAGTGATCGTGCATTCAGATATAGTTGGTCAATTTGACATATTATCACTTAGTGGAAACAAGTATTGTCTTACTTTTATTGATAATTATTTTAGCAGAAAGAGTTAGATGTATATTCTTAAAGAAAAATTAGAAGTACTTGATAAATTCAAGGATTTCAAAGCAGTGGAAGAAGAACAAAGTGGACGGCATTTGAAGATACTCTAATCAAATAGAGGAGGTGAGAACAGTTCAAAGTTATTTGAAGATTTATGCAAAAAGCATGGTATTATCCATCATCCAACAATCTCATACACGGCATAGTAAAACGATACTGCAAAAAGGAAAAATCGCACAATTCTTGATATGGCAAGGAGCATGGTAAAGGGAAAGCACCTACAAAGAACTTTTTAGGTTGAAGCCATTCTATGCATTGTTTATTTGTTGAATTGATGTCCAACAAAGAGCATGAAATTTAAGACACTAAATGAAGCTTGGAGTGATTAGAGGCTAGCAGTTGGACACCTTAGAATTTTTGGATGCATTGCATATGCCCACGTTCTTGATTAGAAGAGGAAGAAGTTAGATGACAAAAGAGAAAAATGCATATTTATTGGATATGATAAAAGGAATAAGGCTTATATAGGCTATACAATCCTCTAATTAAAAAAGAAATTATTTCACGAGACGTTGAATTTGATGAGCAGATTACTGGAGATGGAGTAAAGAAGAAAAGAAAATTGAAAGACTATTCTTTGATGATGATAATGGTAATGATAACTCCAACGAGTAAGGTGATGACCAGAGTCCTCCACAAAATCCTATTCCAACTACTCTTGCATCCACATCATCAACATCAAGTAGTGATAGCAGTAGTAGCAGCAGCAATTTAGGTTTGATATGCACATTTTAAGTGACATTTATGATGCTTCAAAGCATGTGCTGCATTTTGTTTCATGGAAAAATGTGATCCAAGGACATATGAAGAGGCCACTGAAGATGAAAATGGAGGAAGGCAATGAATGAAGAAATTGCTGCAATAAAAAGAAATGACACATGGGAACAAATTAGTCTTTAGGCAAGACACTAAACAATTAGAGTCAAATAGGTGCATAAGACAAAGATTAATCAAAATGGAAAGTGGAAAAGTACAAGGCAAGGTTAGTTCCTAATGGCTACAATCAAAGGCAAGAAATTGACCATGTGAACTGTTTACTTCAGTTGTAAGGATTGATACTATTAGGCTTCTGATAGCACTTGTAGCTTAGAAATAAATGGAAGATTTATCAAATGGATATGAAATCAGCATTCCTAAACAACTATTTAAAAGAAGAAGTCTATCATCTTAAGAAAGCTTTGTATAGATTAAAGTAAGTCCAAGAGCGTAGAATACAAGAAAAAATGGTTATTTTCAAAAGAATGGTTTTGTGAAGAGTCCATATGAGCATGCCTTATAGATGAAGAGAAGTAAAGATGATGATATCATGATCATGTTGTAGATGACATGATATTTACAGGAAATAAACTAGGTATGTTCAAAGATTTCAAGAGTTAAGACTAAAGAATTTGAAATGATAGATATTGGTGAAATGTCATATTATCATGAAATTGAAGTACAACAAATGAAAGACAGAAAATTTCTATCACAAAAGAAATATGTGGAGCAAATTTTGAGTAAGTTTAGAATGAAGGATTGCAAGCCAGTAGCCACGCCAAAAGAAGCAGGTACAAAGTTGAGAATTGACTCGAATAGAGAATTAGTAAACTTGACACTATAAAAGAGAGGTTAGAAGTTTGAGTTATTTAACTTTCACATGACTAGATATTATGTATGCGGTTGAATTGGATAATAGATATGTAGAGCAGCTGAAACATTATCAATTATTGCAGCAAAAAGAATTTTGAGATATGTTACAATAGACCATAGTTTATTTTATTCATAAATCCAAGATTCAAAGTTGATTAGTTATTTAGATAGCGATTAGGGTGGAGACTTGGACAATTAGAAGAGCACTTCCAGATATGCATTTCATATTGGATAAGCAATATTCTCCTAGTAATCCAAGAAGTAACCAACAATCACTTTGTCAACATATATGAGGCTAAGTATAAAGCCATAGTAGTGTGCACGTGTTAGGCAACATGGTTGAAGAATGTTTTGAACAAGAAGGTCGAGCTACAATATATGTCAATAACAAATATGCCATATCACTTGTGAAAAATCTAGTCTCACATAGTCGAGCATATAGACATGCAGTATCATTTTATTTGAGAGTACGTGAAAAATAAAGTTGTGGAGTTAGTCTATTGAAAAATAGAAGATCAATTTGCAAATATTTTTTATGAATCCATTGAAGACAAATATATTTTACCAAATTAAAAGAAAAGCTTAGCATGCAAAGTTAGGTTTGAGGTGGAGGGTTAGAATTCAAGCCCTCCAAAACTTAGCAATGAAGTATTAATTTGATTGGCTATTTTTGAGATGATCATGAAAGTAGCTGTTGTTTTAAGCTTAACATTGAATTTTTATTTTTTTTGGTTAAGATGAGAAGTGTACAATTAGCATGGAAAGTAGCCATTTTTTGTGTGGCCAAAGTGCAAAAAAGAAATGGCCATGTAGCTGGTGATCAAATTGGCTAGCAAAGCAAAACTTGCCTAGTCAATATGTGTGGTTAAGACAGTGCTATGTCTAGCTTCCTTGTAGCTTTATAAATAAAGGATTGCATTTTGTAATTCAAAAGGTAAGAGAGTGAGCTGTAAGAGACTTGAGAGAGCAAAAGGAAAAAGAGAGAAGAATCAAGTGCTAGCCACAGCTAGCTTAGAGAAAAAGTGAGAAGAGAGAAAAAAATTACTAGGGTGTTGTAACACAAATATTGTGAGAATATTTTTGTGGAGTAACTTGTTGGGTGAGCTTTCGTAATACAATTTTTTGCATCAATGTGTGTGTGTGTGTGTGTGTGTCTGTATTCTTGTTTAAGTTGTATTATTCTTGGATCCACTTTCGCTTCCAACAATGATTGAGGAGTTCAATGGGAAGAGCATCAACAGCACATAGGTTTGGAACATTGTTCATGGCGGCTTTACCATGTTTCTCATGCTCAAGGTTGTTGTAGCCAACTCTTTCTAAGGCCTTTTCTCCATAATTTGGATATCTTCTATCTTCTCCTTGCTAGTAATCAATCATTTTCAATGGTTTGTGGTATACCTTTAATTTGTATATACATTTACAAGATATATACCTAAAATAATTCTTGTCAAGGCCTAATCTTGCTAACCCTAATAGCGACAACTAAATCTTTGAGACCACCTCCATGTGAAAAGGGATCAAGTTTGTGCGATAGCCTAAAGAAAGCCCAGCTTGTAGCCTTATACATGACCTTAACTCTTGTAGTAATTGATTCTTCTGGTTCACACTACATGTTTGGATCGATGGTGGCAAACCAGTTCAACTTGGATAAGCCCAAGCATTGAAGAATTTACTAGAGTTGGTTTATCTTTATTATGTACGTTGCATTGGCCATAGGCATCACCCTCATTATCTATATTGAAGAAGATGTGGGTTAGGGAGTAGGGTTTGGCTTGTGCACTCTAGCTTGCATAATTGGCTTAATTGTTTTTGTATGTAGAGGCCATTTCTATCACCATGTTAAGCCATATGGAAGCCCGTTCACATGTTCGGCTCGTGTTCTTATTACAGCTATCAGAAAGAGGAAGATCTTGCTCACACTCAAAGCGGAAGATTATTGTCATGGGAGAGGGAAGATTGTTGACAAAGTAGTGCCAACAAAAATTTTCAAGTAAGTTCAATCACTACCTTTACTTTTTTAGTTCATAGCTATACTATTTAATGATAAACAAGTCAGATGTTTAGATCTTATCATTGGTTCTTGATCCTCGCATGAAGGTTTCTGAATTGGGGGGATATAATAACCGAAGGAGACATTCAAGAAGATGGCTTGATTGTAAAGAGATAGAGGCTATGTACAGTGCAAGAAATTTAAAATCTCAAAACCCTAATCAAAATGGTCTCATATGGTCCACCGCATATTCACAACGATTTTACTAACCATCATAGGTGGCCTCACAATCCTCCAAGCTCTCACCATGGACTGACGCGTCGAGCAAGATCCCCTACTAGCTCCATGCTGGCCTTCATCTATTTATTTGTTGCGCTACCATTACTGTCATCAACCACTGCTTTTTCCCCCTCCAGAAGAAGCACCTTGGTTGAACCATCACTCCTATCTAGCGAGTGGGTGTGAGCCATGTATTTGCAATTTTGAGTATGCTTGCATTTGCGCTCATAGAGTCAAGACAACTTAAAATGGCTTACTCTCACAACCTCCGTGGTGGAGTTGCTGTACCCATGTCAGCGTTCTAGCTAGAGCTGAGGTTGGACCTCTTCGACGTAGCAGTAGCATTCTTTTTTTTGAGAAACATGATGTCCTTCTATCGTGAGTTCCTTGTGGCATTGAAGAGCACATCAACAACAATGATAGTGATATATTACGACATAAGGTTTTACATAAACTCAACAATTGTTAGCATTTTCCAACGAATGATGGGGTGATTGTCGGACAGTATGAGAGGAGAATGGATAATGTATACTGGGTTTTAGTAGTGGGTGGGGTTTTAAACTTTGGTTACTTAGCATGTGCCTGGATGTACAAGCATCAGGGTGCTGAGAAAGAGGCAGACCTTCAGGGCCTCCACTAGGATAAAGTAATTAAGATGGTTAATAATTGCTAATTAAAAAACCATCGATTTCTAAATTTTGATCTGTCGTTTGCTAGCAAAAATGGATGTTTATGTGAAGAAACATTTTTGTTGAGATTTGTAGGCCTAATTTGGGCCAACTATTGGACTAAAACTCTGGCAACTATTTAGTGACTTTCGGTCTTTTGTTGGACTTTGGTCCAAACATTAATTGTGGCCAATCCTTACTAATGAGGGTTTTGACACCCATGAGCCCAAAACCATTATTTTCCTTTTCATCTTTTTATGGTTACTTGTTGTTGTTAGCTTTTCTGTTCATATGATGGGTTATTTAATTAAAGAAAAAAAAATTATATAACCTATGGCCAATATAAATGACAAATTTACCAATTCTTGTTAGGTACCTGCAAATTTGACTTGGTTGTGGTAGGATTAGATATTATTAGGGGTGAGCACGGTTTGATTTTTTACTATCAATACCAATCTCTTCGATTTCATTTGATTTTGGTATGTTATAGTGCAGTTTTAGTATTTTGTCACTTTTTTTCTCTAACTAATTAAATAGAATGATTGAAATTACAAGGACTAGAAGCACTTTTGGATAGATAAGTAAAGGAACTTTAGGAGATGATATCATTACAAGCATTCCGCTCTAGAAATATACTGCTGAATAGACAGAGAGTAGAAAATTACTAACTTTTGTACTGGGAGACTTGTTCAAAAGCAAAGCAAAGAAGATATTAATTAAAAAATGAAGGGTATATTAAACATTGTTATTATTTAATTTTTTATATTTTTATATTTTTTGTAACATTTTAAGTAAAGAATAGAGGAGAATTGCAACAATAATACTTGTTGCATATCAATATGACAATTGTATGCATTAAGAAAGTATTATGTAATATGTTTTAGAGTAGAAAAATTTATAAATTAAGTGATTAGAAATATTTTGCATACAACCCCTGAAAATAATTTTAACCACAGAAGTAACGGAACAAAAGATAATATGTTGAGTTAGGACCATTTAGTAGTCTGTAGACCCTTTATGCAAGTATCTAAAAGTGAATATACAGATGAGAAATGAAGCTAAAAATGAGACCGAGTTCTATGAGCATACTAATGCTCAAACGAAAAGAAGACTAATACAACAATATGCATAAACTTACAAGAATAATGGGAAAATACTTAATAATGTACATCATTGATATAATTTTTTCAATTTATTATTAAATTGTTTCTAATGTCTAAAAATTTAATCATTTTATATATAATATAAATAATTTAATAAATTATTATATATGATACTTGGTTCAATATATTTTTGTTAGTTTTTTTATTTATACAATTGAAATCATACTAAAATATTCGATATGATATTACTTAATACCAAAATGTATAAACTTTTTTTTTTTAAATAACCGAACTCTTGGTATAGTTCAATTTGGTACGGTTTTAAAAATCATGAACACCCCTAAATATTACAAAATAGGGATTATGATGAATCTGTGGATTTATAAGCAACTTACAGGGAGATGAGGATGGCGACAAGGATAGATGTCATAATATCATGTAACGACTCGAGTACTACTAGCCCTAATAACTTGTTGAGCCTAAATTACTAGTCCAAAATACTTAAATCCAACTTGTTCAGTAGTAGTCTCTAGTTTCTTATAAGTTTAAGATCTTTCCCATATTTTGTCGATATGGAATTTGCTTAAAAATATCATACACACTCTCCATTTGGGATGCCACATACACCCATCTCTTTGGGACTTAGCGAGGACCCCCTTTAGGGTGTCACATATCAACCCTACCCTCATAGGGCTCATTTAGTGGATTAGATTGAATCAAGTAGAATATGACAATATTTAGATAAAATATTCAGATCGCATAATATTTTAGATTATTATATTATATTTGATAAATTTAATAAAAGTTTGGATAAAATACTATATAAATATATAAATATCAATATATTTGTTTATTCATTTGTAATGATGGACAAAAGTGGCAGGTGATGGCAGTGGGTGGTAGTGGCAGTGGCAGCAACGGCAAATGGCCTATGAATAGGAGAGGCAATATTGTTCAGATAAGCTAAATAATCTCACCACCTCTCATTCTATATAATTTATGTAAATTTAGTTGGATAATTATTTTATGCGAACTTCTTATCTAATTTCATTATTCAGTTTATCAAATCTAAAAAAAAATTAGATAAGAGCTGGTAATTTATCATTTTCTACCTTTATTCAATGTACTAAATGTGCCAATAGTGGATATATTTGTTTATTTATTTATTTAAGTGATTTATTATTAATTTAGTTTGTTAAATAATAAATTTGGATTATGGTTTTATTTGGTTTGAAAAAATTATTGGGCGTGATCTGAATTATTTTTTCTGTGAATTATAAACTGTTTTCCCTCATTATTTTTTTAATTGTATTATATTCATAGGAATATATATGTATAAAAATAAATATTATATTATTTAACAAGAATGAAAATAGAAATTAAAATAAAATTTTGACAGAGATAAATATGAAAATAAAAATGAATTTTTAAAGTAAGGATGAAAATAAATGCATTGGTACCCAATCCACACCCAACCGCTGCCATTGCTGCATAGTGTCCTTCTTTGTAGCTTTCGCTTTTGCTGTGCATTACAGTGGCTCTTTCTCGTGCAGGAACTCCGTCCTATCATTTTTCAACAAATAATTGCATTTACTTTTTAAAAAAAGGTCATATTTTTTGATAAATGTACAGGGACCTATTTCGGAAATCATTTTTTAATGGTTGATTTCCCAAACTATTAGCAATTAAACAATAGCAATTTGTCATATTCCTATAAGGAAAACAAGGTGTTTGAATGATTTCTTAATAAAATATTTAAATAATTTATCATGCTTCCGGATCTTGGTTAGATATGACGAAAATGACAAATAGTTTCTTATTTTAAAATGTATAACTTTGAATAATTCATTTTTCTTTTTTTATTTGTGCTTATTTTTCTTTCTATATATATATATATATATATTGCAAAGAATCTTTCTAAACCATCTTTAAACATCTAAAATTATAAATTATAAATTGTAATGGAAATGAAGGGTGTAATTTTAGATTATTTTATTGGCAATTTAATTATTAAGGTGTAATTGTCCAAGCCGATCGGAAGGAAACATCACTTTAATTTTTTTTAAGACAAAAAGGACATAAAATTATATTAAAAGTATATAATTATCGTATCATTTCATCTATTCCTTCGTAATTAACTAAATTGTAAGGAGTTAAACAACACCAACTTGCAAGCTTTTTCCTTGAAAAGATTTTGAAGATCCAAGGTGGAGCCAGAGGGACCCACCAAGATTATCTTCTATCCCCAATTCAATTTATTTATCCATTAGTCACAGATTATTTCATATCTTTTCTTTTATTGACTAATTTTAATTTTTTTATTATCTAAAAATTAGTATAATTAGTTAACATATTTAAATTTATTTATAATTTTATATAATTTTTATTTTTAATCAAATTATAAGATAATATAATATGCAAGTCAATTAATGAATGACTCGTATGGTACCACCGATAGGATATAATTAAATAAAATATTCTCATTCTACTTACAGAGTGCATTAATTTTATTCTACATTTATTAATTTTAAACAATCCAATATACAACAACTGGATAAATAGTCATTTTACCACCCTTGCCAACTCCTACTTTCTGCCCTTAGAGACTCGTTCGGTAGTTTGAATAAGGGTTGATAAGAATAATTTATTTACCGTTATCCTATCTAGATCTATATTTGGTAGGTAAGATAAAGTGAAATCAGATAAAATTCGGATAGGAGATCGATTAGATAATAGTATGGTCAAATTTAGATAAATTATATTGGGAGGAGTAGTTGGATAATTTTATCCGACCCCTACTCAATTTCTTTTGATAATATGACTTTTACTTCTACTATTAACCGTCATTTCTGCCACCTCCGTCAAATAAGATAATTATACAAATTATTATATAATTAATATAATTTATTCAAAATTTGTTCTATCTTACTTTATCTTATTCAACTTATGCAACGACTCTTAAACGGAGAATAAGAGTTCTTGCTCGGTCCGCCAGATTTGTTCAACCGCAGCGACTTCCTGACAAGGTTGGCGGTGCTGAGGTTAAAAGGTATCAGGATATAGCAAGGACCTAGGCCGAGGGATGTGGCTGCCGTAGGGGAAGAAAGAGAATCTAGATCTGTAGAGAAGAAGATCTAGCATTGGGGCCAGTGTAGGAGACAAGATCAATAGACAGTCTAGTGTGGTGACATTTGGGCGACTTTTTCTGGTGTGGTGAGGTTTAGGCAACGAAGCCTAGTGCGATGAGGTCCAGGCTATGTGGTCTAACGCAATCTGGGACGATGAGGTTTGGCATGGTCTGTTGCGGTTTGGTCGCCGCAAGGTCCCACCTATTCACCATCTTCTCCACCTTGGGCAAGGTTGCCAAGCTCACAGTCCTCGAGTAGAAAGAGATCCATTCAGTCGATGCAATCTAGATGGGGATGGGGTTACGTAGAGTAGTATTGTCAAAAATATAATCTAGCAATTGCACAAGAGTTTTGGAGAATTTTATTCCATTCTCTGTCATATAATTACCCTACTTGAATAGGGATTTATCCTACCTGCATGAAAATTTATCCAATGTATGGAGCATTTGATAAAAGAATATAAATATATATAATATATTATTATATAATTTTATCTCACCTACTAAACAACTTTTTAATATATTATATGGATTATTTCATACATTGGTATGATTAAATTTTCTTTGTTTCATTGTTCGATTAGGTGCATGCTCTAAGAAATTTGACAATTGAGATCAATTGCTCGTGTGACACGAGATTAAAATTAATTCCATTTCAAATTAAAGATCTCTAACCCGGTCCGCACATTTATGAGATCCGATAGCAAATTAAAAAGGTTAATTACTCAGTTTTTTTTATCAGATATTACTTATACATAAAGTCCTTCTAATTAAAAATAATAAACACATAATTAATTTACATATTAAAAATTAGCACAGTTATTCGGATTCATGATTCCAAATATATAATAGCAATTTAACATATCCATTTTCTCATTTGGCAAGCTGCCAAACAACGTCCATCTTGACTTCATTTCGCTGGACGTTGACATTTTATTAATTATATAGCAAAAATACCCAGAAGATCTGAGTTGTACACATGTGTATATTACTATAGTAGATTTCCTGAATTGATTGGAAGAAGCTGAGATAATTAATGGAAGCTCCACCCCCTCCTTCCAATGGCGATGTACAGCCTTCCTCTCACAACCGAGGTGGCTGGGTCACCTTTCCATTCATCGCAGGTACAACACCCCCCACCCCCACTTATTTTCAGGAAAGTAGGAATGGAAACCATCCAATTCTCTATACTACAACAAATTTTCCTGGAAAATTAACGAACATTTTTTTTTCCTGGAAAACTGATGAATACTTCCGTTCCTATCCTGCAACCCAAAGATAGCTCTGTGGGTTGAAGGTTGTTTTTGACATTGTTGCTTAACTCTCTCTGCAGTTTCATAATGTTCCTTACCAAGATAGGAACATTTACAATTGATTCAAAGAGAAATCTTCTTGCGTATAGAGTGAAAAAAAGAGGATTGAATGACTCAGTGAGTAGTTTTAACCGGGCCGATTTCTACGTTATCTGTCTTTTCGTCTTTACAAGTTGAGGGGGAATACAAAGAAGTAAAAATTGTAATAGAAGAAAGTTCGTCTTTGTCACAAAATTCTGTTCTGTGTTGTTTGGGGAAAGCAGCAACGACGGTGGGGTTGTTCATTGCAATCGGAGGATGGATGAACAACATTCTCGTGTTTATGATTGAGGAATTCAATTGCAAGACCATCAACAGCACCCAGATTTGGAATGTTGTTCATGGCTGCGTCGCCGCGTTACCTGTGCTCGGGGCTGTCGTGGCGGACTCCTTGGGAATTTTCTCCACCATTTGGATCTTTTCCCTCGTCAATTTATTGGTAATTTCTATTCGATTAAGTCCCTTCAATTTAATTACTCTGTTTGCGGCCAATATAAAAAACAAAAAAAGCTTGGTTTTTACCATAAATAGAAATTAATATATAATAAATTAATAATTTATTTTTAATTCCTTTTTCTCTAAACTTATTTACTCTTAAAACAGCTTGGTTCTATTTATAATTTATTTTTTAAAATCCATGTTCTCTCAACTTAAGTTTTTAAATTTATTTTTAAAAAAATATTTTGTTTAAACTTAATATCAAACTAGACCTTAATATCCAATGCAAAAAAAAACAAAGAAAAAAAACTATGTCCATCCATTATATTTAGGCCCCTTGTTCTGGAAGATTTCCAGTGTTACCACACTGTCAGCTTATATGGTTCAAATATAAGCCTGTGATTCTATCATTTTCTGAACACAATATTTTATTTTGGTAACAAAAAAGTTCATATAATCTATATAAAATTTAATTTTTATTCCTATTTTTTTCTAAGTTTTAAGCTTCTAGTGTACCCAAAAAAAAAAAAAAACTTTATCACCGCTTAGTAACTTTTATTTTAATAATTGCAGTGGTTGTGAAAAAACCATTATTCAAATTAATTGAACAAGAATTCCCCTTGTAGGGTCTCTCAATCATTTTTTGCTTTCCTTATTTTCCCTGATGCCTTTGTCAAGTCGGGTCATCGGGCATAGATCTTCTTTAGTCATGACAAAATTGAGAAGGCAGTTGTCCATCTACTCTAGTGCAATCAAATAAAACTTGAAATTTTCGAGTCTAAGTTAAAAATATTTTTAAGTTACAGATAGATTAACACATAAATGAGATTAAAGAAACATTTTCGTTTTAAGACAAAATTTTAAAATTCTGAAAGTCCATTTTAAATATTTAGTATTTCACAATAAAAGGTCGTATTTGAAAATTGCTTTTTACATAAATTAAATATATAAAAAATTAGTTATTTTCATACCATTACAAAAAAATTTTAATTCAAAATATTTCCATAGTCAAACATCTCCTAAATCTGATAAGTTTCCTCAGAATCGATAATCCTGACCTAAGGGTCTATTCTATTGAATCTTTCATTTTCATGGTCACTGTTTTCGAGTCAAAAATCAATTCAACAATACAAAATCAGACATCTAGCACCCAATGCTTTCTGTTATCCTTGCATCGAATACGACACCGTTTCCGCCATTTATTTGTTTTTTCTATTTTTATACATTGACTTTCTATTTTTTTCTATTATGAGTTTTTTACAAGAAGAAAAGACATTTTGTTATGAGTTCAGGACTAGTTTCATCCCTCTTTGCCAAGGAGTCATTAAAGAGAAAAACCCAATATTTCGACCAATCGAACGCTCATTGAGCAATTAAGGCTGAAGACAAACTAATATCCTTAGAAATTGCATCTGACGTAGCAACCACACCAAGAGCCCAAGAGTGTATCAGACCCTATAAAACCTCCAACAACCCATCTGCACAACCCTCTGACATCACAGCCCTATCCAACCTCTGCCTCCCCATATATACAACGAAAGAAGCCAAAATAAACCAAAATCCCCTGTTTTCTTTGCATAAACAAACACAGCCCCACTGATTTAGAAACTATCTGATTTTCAGAACCACTGACTCCCGAGGATACACCCAAAAAGCCCACCCTAATCTACCGTAGATTGTTAACCTGGCCAAACTTGCTACTGGATATATAATCATCACAAAAAGTTTAACTTGTTTTTCCCTTTCATTTTAGGGCTTAATCCTCTTTACCATAATTGCAACTGTCAACTCCTTAAGGCCACCTCCATGTGAAAAGGGATCAAGCTTTTGCATTGGCCCCACGCAAGCGCAACTTGCAATCCTCTACATGGCCATAACTCTTTCAGTAATTGGTTCTGCCGGGTCACGCCACATACTAGGAACCATGGGGGCTAACCAATTTGACTACGACAAGCCTAGGAGTCAAAGAATTTTCTGGGACTGGTTCTTTTTCATTGTGTTCATTGCCTCGGCTATAAGCACCACCCTCCTCGTCTACATCGAAGACAATGTGAGTTGGGGAATAGGGTTCGGCCGTGTGCCATAGCAAATGTAATTAGTTTAGTCATCTTTTTGTGTGGAAGCCGATTCTACTGCCATGTCAAGCCACAGGGAAGCCCGTTCAAGGCTTTGGCCCGCGTTGTGGTTGCAGCTATCCGAAAGAGGAAGCTTCCGCTCAAGCTGGCCCAAGGTTATTATCACGGCAGGGAGGGTGACGGAGAGGTGAGGATTGTTGGCGCAACACCCACGAAGAATTTCAAGTAAGATCATCGCTAGCTTGAATATTCCTTTGGAAGTTTATGGCATTAATTTTAAGTTTAGACGTGAAGAAAGAATATTGACTTAATATATATATGAATGAATGTATTGAAAAGTTAAGTGTAACTTGCATGTATATTAGCACTGGGCAACACAGCATCTCTTTTATACAAAGGTGAAAGTTCTTAATGTTTACATATGTGTGTTGAACATAGAAAACATATAAATAAACATGTACATATAGTTACATTTTCAGAAAAATTTATATTTACTTCGATTTTTCCAATGATTAAGCCTGCATTAATTGTTGTTTCCTTTTTTACATATTTCATGATGTATTTTTTGGAATAAAAAAAATTGAAAACCCCGTTATTTTTTATCACTTACTGTCTTTTAATAATTTAAAAAAAATTTACAGAAACCGATCATGATGCGAAAAACAATAATCAAATTTCCAAAATAGTTCAAACAGTTAATTTTTTTGTTTCAAAGCAAACCAATGAAAGAGCTCACTATATATACTTCCCCCCACACATGCAGGTTCCTGAACCGCGCAGCTCTGATAAGTGAAGGAGACCTACATGAAGATGGTTCGATTGCGAAAAGATGGAGGCTTTGTACAGTGGAAGATGTACAAGATATGAAAACACTAATCAAATTATTACCATTATGGTCGAGCGGCTTATTCCTCGCTACCCCCCAGACCATGCACAGCAGCCTCACAACCCTCCAGGCCCTCACCATGAACTGCAGCGTGGGAAGGCACTTGAACGTGCCTGCCGGCTCCATTCTTGTTTTCAACATGGTCTCCAGTTGCGTTGGAACTGTTCTCATCGATCGTTGTCTCTTCCCTCTTTGGAAAAAGCAATTTGGTCGAACCCCAACCTCTCTCCAGCGAGTTGGCGTAGGCCACGTTCTCATAGTGATTAGCATGATTGTTTCGGCTTTGGTGGAGTCCAAACGGCTCGACGTGGCTCATTACTACAGCAAAAAGATCAACGCCGCTGACGTCGTGCCCATGTCGTTGTTCTGGCTGGTGCCACAGCTAGCCTTAGGTGGATTTGGAGATGCATTCCAACTTCCAGGCCACACCATATTCTACTACCAGCAGTTTCCAGCGACATTGAAGAGTACGTCAACCGCGGTGACGATTTTATTATTCGGAATTGCGTTTTACATAAGCTCCGCCGTGGTGGACGTTGTGCAGCAAACGACGGGGTGGTTGCCGGATGATATAAATCAGCGAAGAATGGACAACGTGTACTGGGTGTTAGCCTTTCTTGGGACTTTGAACTATGGGTATTTTTTAATCTGCGCGTGGATCTATAAGCCACAGGGTGTTGAAGAAGAGGTGGGTGATGATTGCTCTAGCTCCAGCCGTCAAGTCCATGTAGCTCCCGAGAATCAAAGACTTCTTGATTAGGGTTTTGAATCGACTATGCTGGAAATGACGAATATATTTGTGTTTCTGGACAGGGTGACTGCTTTCAGGGGTATGCTATATTGTGTATGCTAAAGAACTCTATAAAGAAATATTTGAAGCAATACAAACAATCCTTAATCTCCATAAAAAATATTAAGTTAATTTCTGCTCTTGATTCATTTAATTGTTTATCGGTAATTATATTCTGTTCCCTATCCCTCCATGCATACGATTAGTTCAATAACTTCTCAATCTTCTTTAGTTGTTGTAATCTTTCACTACAAAAAAATACGTCAATTACAGTAGTCAATTTGATAAAATACAATAGTTTTTAACTGTTATTTTTTAAGCATATGACGGTTTGAAAAATTGTCAAAGTATGACGGTTTGAAAATTTGTCAAAATCTGACCTATCATTCAACATAATATGGCAGTAAAAGGCCAACTGTCATATTAACCACCGTAATTTACGGTAGTTGACTATCATAATTTATGGCAACTAATCTATTGCGTTATTTAATCACCTTTTTTTATGGTCAATTTTTCATTATAAATTACAGTGATTTTTTACATAAATTCAACAGTTTTTATTGCAAATTATGATAATCTTATTGTAAATTATTGTAGTTTTTCATTAGAAACTATGAATTTTTTTATGTAAATTACAGTGATTTTAATTGTAAAATTATGATGACCTTTTTTTCAAATTATGGTGATTTTTGCTCTAAATTATGACAAATTTTTGTTGTAAATTGTGGTGACTAAAACACCATAATCTATAATAATTTGGTGAACTCTCTTTTTACCTTTAATTATAGCGATTTTGAACTGCTATTTTTACTATTAATTACAATGATTTTGAACCACTGTTTTATTCATTTTTTACCAAATCTTTTTTTATTCAAAATTTTTATAATACAAGCATATATAAGAGTAAATTTTAAAATTTTTATTAATAAATAAAATATGTACATTATAATTCAAGTGTTATCAAATGTCACATCCAAAATTATATGAAAATAAGAATAAGTGTTCAAAATAAAAAGTAAGTACTTACATAAAAAATTACATGGAAACTCGTACTCACCATTGGTCTTTTATGAATTTTAACAATGTCAACTAATAGCTTTTGCCTTTTTTCAATGTTCCCTACTTTATTTTGTTGAACAGGCAAACAAGGGCCCGCTTGAAGACCAACATAACTAAAGAGAAACCACTTAAGAGTTGCTAATGAAAACAATATATGAGCTATTATAACATCAAAGCCAATTTCTCTTTTCTTCCTAGAATTTAAATATGAAATGATTTGTTTAGCATCTAATTTCACAAAAACTCTATTTAATCCACAAAACAGCATATCGCCTGCATCCTCAAATCAAATAAACATCAATCTAATATTGACAAGCAGTCTCTGTAAAAAAGAAAAATAGATTCAGCTATATTCAACACCACATGCAATATATATGGCACCCATGCATTTTTAACATTTATAAACAATCATATATGATAACAACAATTTTGCAAGACTTGTCTAATGGTTAGTGTAGGAACTCTAAACTTTAAACTAATCCTGATGGCTTGCTCATCAGAAGTTATTAGGTCATCAAAATGATAATAATTGTAATTGTTGTAATACATATATATCATTTTAATTCCAATAATGCATATCAATCATTTGTATTCCTGTAATTTTTGTAATGCATATTTATCATTTCAAGTGTAATTCACCACAAACATACATGAAAAGTAATTAGACATCACAATGCAATTATTTTTAAGTACGAACATCTTTAATAATACAATTTGATAACTATATTTAAACATAAAAAATGAAATAAGAATGTAAATTTTTAAAACATAACATTAAAATGTAATTTCATTGCTGAATACCTCCTCCAATTCTCTCATTTTGGCTTGATGATCCACCTTACATTGTATTGAATTTTTCTATCATTGCAACTATTGTAGCCATTATAGCCTCATTCCTGACTTTTATTACATCATTTCTAACCTTTAGTGTATCTTTTGCTAATTTCTTGGCCTCCTCAAGCACTGGTATCTCTCTTGTTGCAATTGTTTGTCTCTCCTCTACAAGTGCTTTGACAATTGCCTCTTGTAATTGATCCAAACTAACACACCCAAGAAAAGGTGCCATGGAGATAAACTTGGATGAAGTGCCAATAGAAATAAACACTTTGCAATGATAAGTGTTCCCAAAACTGTAAATTTGATTCTTGCAAAGCCCACCACTAATTACAAGTCATTTTTGCGTATCAAATGAGCTTTCTAAAGTAAAATTACTACCATATTGACTACAATATGTCTACTCATACTTCTCTTAAAAATAAATCAATGGCAAGTATATAATTAATGTTAATTAACATCAATTACAACTAATCACATTACCCATACATGATGATAAGACTAAAATAAAAGAAATAAAATAATAGATGATTATAAAAAAGAAGTTTGAAAAATATATATTAAATGACTTCTACTTAAGAATGTAACTTCATTCACAAGTACACAATTAATTGCTTATAATCGAACAAAACCGTGCTTGTAATTGAACAAATCGATACTTGTAAGACTTAAGCTTAGATTTGGTACCATAAATAGAGAGATGTGCATGTAATTAAAAGAGAGACATATTTGAAACTGAACTAGATCTGCTTATAACAAAGTGGAACTGTGCTTGTAACTCAATTGAGATATGTTTGTAACCAATCGATACTTGTAACTGAATAAGTCTAAACCATAAGCATCCATTGGTTTAGTTACAAGCATGATTCAATTTAATTACAAGCAGTTCTCAGTTTAGTTCTAAGCATATCTCTGTTTAGTTACAAGTAGATATGTCCCTCTATTCAACCAAATCTAAGACTAAGTGTTATAGGGAATGATTTGTTCAGTTACAAGGAAAATTCTATATGGTTACAAAGAAAAGCTCGTTTAGTTACAAGCACATATAAGTTCAGTTACATGTATATGTCTTCATTAATAGAACGAAATGTAAGCCTAATCTCACAAGTATCAATTGGTCTAGTTATAAGTAAGGTTCTGTTTAGTTAAAAGCAAATCTCAGTTCAGTTGCATATAATAGGTATTAAAAGCAATTGGAAGTATATTTGCTTAAATAAAGTATATAAACTGACTTGTAAAATAAGTCAAACTCAAAGTTAAGAATCACATGATATAATAAGTCTAATGGGAAATTAAATATTTTAAACTCTTTGCCAAGAAAAGTAGCACCATGGTAGAACATGTATTGAGTGAAAATTATAATAGTAAATTTTAACATGTTGTGAATTAGGTGTTAGAAGTTTACTCAAACCCTCTTTGACTTATTATCGACATAATTATACTCGCTCCTTGTTTTCTCTTGTGAGTATAGTCATGGACCTTAACTTGGTTGACTCTCATCTCACCTTGGTCGTAGTGTATTAATTCATTAAATGAATAATTTATATAAATAAATATGACTGAACTGTGACTATGATAAAAAAAACTTACCATTTTACATTTGTGCTTGACAAATGAAATTGAATTGCTAGTGTGCTTTACAATTGACTCATCTTTCTTAGTCAATTTACTCTCTTTGGCTTTTGTGCACTTATTTTGATAGTTTGATACATTCATCCAGCAATTGCAAATTGCCTTCCAATCATTGGTGAGCATATATTTAGGCATAACTCTCATTAGATCGTTTGAGTCATCCCTTCCAACTTGCTGAATTATTGTTTTCTTTATTCTATGGATTGTGTTCTTATAATTTCTCTTGTGGGTTTGCTCCCATGAGTGACGAATTCCGACATCATAGTGTGGCAACCACATGTACATCTCCTATCAAAATTGTATTAACTTTGTGAAAATTACAAATATGTCAATTATAAATAGTTATTATTTATAACAAGTAATAGTTTGGACATATAGTATCACCTTAAATTTATTAAAAAAGTTGTCCCTCCTATCTTGAGGAGCTTGCTCTTATGTTGCATGTGACCCCATATATCTCCTAAGAATAGATATTATTTAGCGAGTGACGATCTCGAGAATAAAACTGTCAAATGCAAAGTGAATGAAGTTTAGATGCGACAATATATAGATAAGTTATGACTAAATAATAAAATTAGACCAAGTTAGAAGCAAAATTTATCCATTATAAAATGGTTGGATGAGTTGGCAGCCATCAATATGAGTAGGTTCAGAACTCGTTGATGAGAGCTAACTCCCATGTGCTGTGCCGAAAGGAGAAGGCTAGCCCCATATGCAATGCTATATAGAAAGGGTTGACCCCTAGGTGTAGCGCTGGACGGTGTATCCATCGTTCGCCTACTGCCCATTTTGCTCCTCTCCAAGATCAAAGTTATCAACTGCTTGGTCAAACGGCAGAGGCAACTCATCACTAGTGTGCTTGTCACTATGACCATGCGCACCTCTACCACGCCTACCAAGTCCCCGACCTTTGCTAGAAAACATCCTACAGATACAGCATGCATTGTTAGTGTAATTTTTTTCATAAATCCAAATTTTAAATTTAAGAGGACAAAGAATAGATGTTGCCTGATTGGTTTTGTCAATTGAATGAAGCAGTAGATAGCTGGATGAGTTAATATAACATAAAGTGTGAGATAGCCATGTAAGAAATTAATATGTCAGCATTTGAAAGAAAGATGCATCTTTACATGTTCTTGCTTCTTAAAAGTCCAAAAATAATATGCATAAAATCAGAAAGCTTAAATTTTGAAGTCATTGGATTCCTATAAATAAATGATACATCTAATATAAACATAATATTTGTGCATTTGAATAAACGCATCAAGTAGATATTTAAAAATAGAGATTGTTTAGTTGTTAGTATGAGAAAATTGAAGAGTTCAACAAAATCACATGAAGAGTTCAACAAATAAAAAATAAAACTTCCACAGCTCATCGAACTTAAAACAAAAACTAATTATTATAAATATATGAGAAAATTTATCATACACAATATTAAAATT